ATCCATTACTGTACACATCTTTCAATTAATATTTGCTAGTTGACCTATCTATATAAGGCATAAAATTGAATTGTTTGTTTGCCCTTCTTTTTTTTAATGATAAAAAGTGGCGGGTAGATTTTTTTTTTAAGATACTCATTAGATGGGATAAAACCCACAGAGGCCTAGAATGGCAATTTTTTGGCCCCTATTTCTTTCAGTGAGTTAGGAGTGGGTGAGGAGGGCAAACAAACGCACAGTACAAAACAGACATGATACATAATGAGAATAAGTCAATTTAGGAACTCTGCAGTATATATACTTTATTGCCGGAATATCGGTGAATATTGCATTACAAAATAAGTTTCAACATAAGTAGGCCTAATGGTTTACTTTATCGTCACTGTCCTTGCACGTTTAACCCTCCTACGTTGGCCAGGTTTACGTGCGCTCTTTGGGGTGACTGGAAAAGTAAGAAGACCATCGGAAGAAGTTATTGTCCTTTTCTTCTTGGGTGGTGCGGCATTCATAAAATCACTAAAGATCTTGTCTTTATCGTCATTACGCTTCTTTACCCAATCATAATGTTTTACTCCATATTTTGCTACCCATGGTGATAAAATGAACTTACCAACTCCATGGAGAGCTCTGCGAATATCGCATAACTGGAGCTGAACAATACTTTTAATCCTGTCTACTAAATCTGGTAGTTTGAGAGCTTTCCAATTCGTGCTTAGCTTTGAAATATTATTCATAGATTCACAAGAATTGTTCTTCCAATCTAATGGAATCCATTTATCTCTTCCATGCAGAATAATTATAAATTGAAGAATCTTATCACATATCTTCTTAAAATATGCTATAAAATCTGGTAGTTGTTTAGTATATTGTTCATTAAGACACATAGACAGTTTCCTAAAACTAAATTCATCCTGACAGGAAACCAATCCATCACTTTCACTAAATATATCGTTCAATACTTTTTTACGTAAAGTTTCCTTAACTCCAATTTTTTCGAGATGACGACACACATTTTTCTTCAAATGAAGAGTACACAATACTAAATTTACTGCAGGAAATGCATTCTGTATCGCTTTGGTTAAAGCCACTTCTTTATCGGATCCAAATACCAATTGTGACCCACTGATCATCGATCCTGCAATACCTGCATTAAGCTTTCCTTGAAGGTGCGTTAAAAACCTATGGTACGTTGTAAATAGACCGTCCCAATGTAAGAACACGGGTCCAAGCATGATGCAGGACGCAGGTCCGACCCTTTTCTCATTAAATTTGTATTGTGGTACACTGTTGTGGTCACATAACAAGGACCCAGATTGAATGTTCGGTCAATACCTAAGACGCTAGGGTGTGGTGCAGTGCTACTGCAAAACTTTGCAATGTCCTTTAACTGTTCCTCAAAATATAAAATTACAGATGGAGGTTTGCCCTTCGTGTGCAGAATTTCCTGAATAAAGTCACTATCCTGAAATAGGTTAATTAAGGTTTGAATATCGTCTGCTGCGTTTTTACGTCGCTGGTCTGGATGCAACTTTGCTGACTCGCTATATTTAGCATTTTGGACCTGTTTTAAGTCCCGTGGGGCACACTGAGAACCATTCAAAACAAGTTCCTGGTATACTTCCCTTGGTGCAGTTGTTGAAACCATTTTCTTAATCTTGTTATGAGTGTTTTCTGATGTTCGAATATACATCTGGTCGCATTTCTTTGAATTCCCGTGTGGTTGCGGTTGTCCTGGATGCCTGCCAATATATTCATATATCGCTAATAGTTCATTCATGCTTTCCGGACATTGGATGATATTTGTTATCCGTTTTTTAAAGGTTTTGTCCGCCTTCAGTGATGAGTAGTACCGCCGAAATGTAATAATTGTGTCTTCTGCTGGTTGAGGAAATAATACTGTCTCACCTTTCTTTTTATTTTTGTAATACTGTCCATTTGATTTCTCAATATATGTTAATTTCATTCCGTTGTTAATCAAATATGTATGCGTATTCGATGAGGCCTTTTTGTCCCACGCTCCGCAGTCATCAATATACTTTGCTTTTTTCTTTTGCGAACGTCGCAATACATTGTTGTTATCGTTCAACAAAAAGTAAAAATTTTGCTTAAGTCCGTCTGGAACACAATGGCCACTTGGTTCAGATGTCATGAAAACTTTCATAATATCTTCTGGCTAAAAAAATGCCCGACCCCTTCATTGCCCCAGGCAAGTGAACAACTTCAAACGTGTTTCCGTATTCATCCGATGGTTCCACTGACAAGTTTTCATCAAACGGTCGTTAATTTGGTACCATATGCCTCTTCTAACGATGGCCAACCAGACTGTTGGGATTGAAATAACAAGTAATAAGTACATGATGCAATCTTTATATATAATAATACAATTTATATATGTATTATATATAATATATGTAGTCCTATATAATGGTTATAATAATAATAATAAATAATAAAAGTAATAATAATAATAATAATAGACCTAATAATAATAGGCCTAATAATAATAATTAATGATTGTCTATTGCAGAGACCTCTTAGCATTATTACTGCCGGTCATTGGATTAAGCACACATGGAACACATAATCGGGTCTATGGGGACCTGGTAAAGAAATTAATTATCTGAGTTATTTTCTTTGAATTAGATTCAGTTTTTTTTTCTGTTCAAAATTAATTTTCTCATCATTTCAAAAGGTTATGCTAAAATCCCGGCTTCCAATATAAATTCTTATATCTCAATTTCATATTTTCATAAATTGTTATACAAATAAGCTTACTTATTTTTATACTGTGACCACACGTGTAAATATGTATGTGACTTTGTTAAAAAATCGAAATCGAATTATGCAATTAATAATAGTAATAGCAGTAGTAACAGGTTATTAGCAACGTATAAATACGTACATCTTGAGCAGCTGGTGGAAAGGCTTGGTGGAATTCAGAGAGTTCGTGCGATGGTGATGACGGTGTTGGTGGTGACATGGATATGCCTATTTCAATTCAGTAATCGTCTAAACAATGAATGGAACATGATATATGATTGACTTAAGAGTTTCTATTGTTAGGTGAAAAGCTGCAGGCATAATCTTGACGTTGATACACAATGTATTACACTTCAATTGTGGTAGATTTAGGTGATTACATAATTGGTAATCCAGGACACTGATTACGGTACCGCACAAGATAGAATGGACTTAATTTTCACTAAACTCTACGATTTAATCGGTGACCTATTGAATTTGCTTCGTGATGTTCCTGTTGCTGATTGGTTTATGCAAGATTATTTTTATTGAAACTAAGCACACGTGAGTCTTATTACGTGGCACGTAACAAGAGTTCAAATTTGTCGGAAAATCAAAAATATATTTATATTTTTCTACTCGAAAATTTTAATCGTCTGCCATTCTTCATTTATAGTTTGAACTATCAATTACCATAATGTCTCTTATACACATCTAGATGTGTATAAGAGACAGGCTGCAGGGCTGATATATGTCAATAAACTAGAATACTGTACAATCGACAAATTTATCTACATAACATACAATAATAAAATTGAGCGGTTCCGATGCGAGTAGTTAATTGATGAGAATAAAAATGTATAAATAAAACAATTTTATTTTTTTAATCTTGAATCTATTTGTTTATATTCTACCCGTAACCCAATGGAATTTTTGACTTCGGATAAATTTGTCGTACTGAATCTTATTTATTTATATATCTATATGTATAAGTTTTTTTCTTTGTTATTCTTTATATTAATTCAGAAAATCTCCTTACCATATTTTGGATAATTACCGTACTAAAAGTTGGTTTCTATTGATTATTAAGTAGTTTTCTACTCTCGTGTGGTAATATTTTTATCATTTTTGCACCCGTGTGGTCGCGAGTGGTCCCGAGTGGT